GGAAGTGGTGAGAGGGAAGCTTCTGGTCGAGAAAATTCTCTCTCTTTTCCTAGTTATGTTGATATTTTACATTCATAGAATTGGTATTATCTTTTTAATATGTTCCTGGTTTTGTAGGATAATCCCTTTGGGATTATACCTGCCTTGAGATCCCTACTGAGTTAGATGTCAGTATAGTAATTGCTAGTTAATGAAGTTTAGAAAGCTAATGGAATGATTTTCTTTTTTTTTTTTTTTCTTTCTGATAGTCTTTTGATAATGACATTTTTAGATCTTCTTTTGGTTGTTTTTATACTCAGGATTTTCTTTTTGAAACCCACTGCCATTGTAGGATAGAAGTGAAAACTTTAAGGGAGAAGTAACCCTGATGTGAATCATACATAGGTTGAGCATCTGTAATCTGAAAATCTGAAATCCAAAATGTTCCAATGAGCATTTTCTTTGAGTATCATGTCAGTGGTACTTCAGAAAGTTTTAGATTTTGGAGCATTTTGAATTTTGGATTTTCAGGTTAGGGATACTTACCCAGTAAACCATAAAAATACCCCACAGAACCCAACACAATGTTTCAATAACTTGTCATCTACTTGGGAAAGATGTGCAGGGCTCTTCTGTGCTTCACCACACCTCATTTATATTAATGCCTCTCTTAGAGCCCTCATCTTTGCATGTCTTACATTATGGTAATCGTTTTGCTTTTAACACTTAGTAGATAAAAACTTTAAGAACACTGACCATATATACAGTTCCCTATTGGTCTGTAGCATGATGTTTGCCCCATTGAAGGGAATCAGTAAATCTATGTTTTCATTAAAATTACTTTCCTTTAGCATTTTAGAGATCCTTAACTGTGCCCTTTCTTACGGTTGTAGTTTCAAATTTTCCAGAGTTGGGTAAGCTTGAATAACAGAAAAGGGAGAGGTGAGATACAGTGGATAAATTCCCATTCCAATAAATGTATTTACTAGAAAGTTTTTTAAGGAACAGTGTTATTTTTACATATTAGCCCAAAGTAAGTCTACCTGATTAGGAAATAATTGAAAATGATTTTGAAGGGGCTTAAGAGTTCTTTTAGATTTGTTTTCCCAAGTTATGTGGAACATAAATTCTATAAGGTTTTTTTTTGTGTGTGTAAACAGAGCCTTCTTTCATAAAGTAAATTTGGAAAATCCTAAGTTAAAAGAGGATAACAGGTTTCTTTTCTTTTATCAAAGTTTTAAAATACACTGATGTATATTTTAAAGAGTTAAATATGGTACATGCCTTCTATTGAATGCCATGTTTTTTGGAGAACCTTTTGGGACCTGTGTTCCCAGGAACAGACCTTGGGAAGTGCTGTTCTAGACTAACCGTTACCAGGATGGAAGCTGAGGACCAAGGAGGTTGTTTTTGTCGAAGGTGACTAAGCTGGTTAGCTATATCCAAGTACTGTGACTAATAATTGCCGTCTTTAGCTTGTTTTAGGGGAAATTACTAATACTTTAGGTTGAAATCATCTAACTCAACTCATTGCACCGTAATGTTAGAAAGCAGCTAGGAGAACTGACTTGTGCTAAACCCTAGCTGTAATACAGACACAGTTTTCCTTGAATGTTTTATCCTTTCCTTCCTCAAGCCTAGCAAACCATTTCTTCTCACTAGAATAGAAGCTCACTCAAAAAAGAGCTGAGAGCTTAGAAGAGCAAAAAGGTCTGGGTGCCCAAGGTATACAACATATTATGATGATGATTATTTTTCTAGTTAATTAAAAGCACTTCCTTTGACTAGCCAATGCCATTATAAAGAAGGGGCATAATTTTTGTTTCTCTCCTGGTTCTTTACATTGGGAGAGTGGCTTATTACTAGGTATTCATTAGGACTAAATTGAATAACAGGAAAGCAATTATAAGTCCTTGGAGTCTAGTTTAATAATTTCTGCCGGCATTTGGGCCTGATAATTTTCCTTTGTATTTTTTCCTCAGTTATAGCAGGGGAAATTTTTGTTTACTGTAAACCAAACCACTTAGGAAAATGTACTGTTGGATGCTTAGTAAACAGAGCAACTCAGGGAAGTGTTTACATTTCTTTCCACTTCTTCAGTAAACAATATAGGAATGTGGAAGATTCTGTAAGAAATAATAGTGTTCGAAGAATCAGCTATCTGTTCCACCCATCTCTCTTCTCAACTAATTAATATATTACTTTGTAAGACATCAAAGGTAATGAAGCTGGCACAGGGACTTGCACCCGGTAAACACTGACCGATTTATTAACATGATGTATTAAGGAGTCAAAGACATTTGACTTTAAGATTAAATCATTCAAACTTTCCATTATACACGTAAAGAATTGAAGCCCCCAAAATTCATATTAGTAGTTACTATTTCTCTCCCAATGTCTCTTTAAAGCATCTCTGGCTTGAACCGGAAAGAAAAAAAGAATCGTCTTAACTTTCAGATGTAGGAGATAGTTTTTCCATCAAAGTCCTAGAAATTCAGAGTTCTATTCATGAAAAGTATACTTGTGTTAAATAGGAGTGTATCACTTACCTCCCTTTCTGAGTTGTAACATTTTGTGAGTGCCCATTCAAGCGTTTGACATTATAGCCTGGGCTTTTACGTAGATTATTTATCTATCTATATCTGTCAATATTTATCTGTATATCGAGGTTAGAAGCAATGTGTTAATGGACATTTTAAGTTTGAATTTAGCATTTATTTAACATAAAGTCAGATTTGTAAAGCTATTTTGAGGAAAAGTAAAAAAACAGCTTGAGGATATGGATAATCATTGCTAATTTACCTAGCCTCAGCATCCAAACTTGTTTGTGCATAGACGTGAAAAACGTTCTGCTTCACTGAGATGATTTTTTTTTTTTTTTTACTATGTCTTGCAGTGTTAGTGTATTCTTCATTTGGATATATCATAAAATTTGAGGAAGAATAGTTCTTGCTTCAAATTCCCATCATTAACATTTAAGTACTTCTTGTTTTTCTTATTATAAACAGAAAGAGGTAATAAGTATCTCAAACTATGTATGATTGTTATTAGCATTTGCACCAGTGAGTATTGTTGCCATATTTGTATGAGCCTTTACAAATCTGATGAGCGCTGTACACTTTTCTCTTTAAAAGTGTACATGAGCACGTACATTTATATGCTATTTCATGAGACTTTCACGGAAATAATCCTCAGATTCAGAACACTGTCACTCTACAGCTCAAAACCATTAGTAACCCTTCATCCCCTACATTATAGACTCCATACTTAAGATTGTCTATAAGATGTGCCTATGATCCAGTCTTAGATTGTTTTTTTAACTTCACCTTTCTCCACAACACCCCACATTTATGTTCTGAATGGACTATTGGCCGTTGCTTAGATTGATGCCCATTAAAATGTTCATAAATTTGCTGATGTTTTCTCTCCCTACTTTGGCTATTGGAATTCAGTTCTTTGTTCAAAGCCTAATGCAATGCAAAGTGTTATACTAAATCTTTCAAGCAAAAATAATACTCTCTCTTTTGTACTCCCATAGACATTTTAACCCTTTTTTTAGGCATTTTTAAATTTAACTTTATTGTCATTATTTGCATGCACTTTTGTTTTCATAAAGGGATTATAATCTTTTGGGGAACAGGGTTGGAATGTTATTCATTACTCCGTCCCTCACGGTGCCTTACACATAGTAACTGCTAAAAATTTGCCTAGAGATGAAACAGGTGGAAGACAGGAGGAAAATTGTTTTCTCTTTTTCAGTTAAGACAGTGATACTCGAATGCAAAGCTAAATCAGAATCACCGAAGCAGTCTTTTTAAAAGTTTTAAAATTAAATGATAAATATAATTTATAAAGTTTTATAGATTACTGCATGCAAACTTAAACATCAGCTTGGAAAAAGGGCCCACAAATATATATTTTAAAAATTCTGATGTATAACCAGCTTTAGGAAGTACTAAGGTTTGAATGTCTTCAGGTTATGTTAAATCTAAATTTCTATTAAAAATCAGCCTAACTCATCTAGATCATATGCCACTCCTTTAGAGCAATCATCTGTGACATTTGGGTGGCATGAAATAAATGCCAGAAAGTCTGGAGAGCCATGGACAGAGCTCATAAAAACATAGCAGTGGAATGTCAAACTCCACTACAAACGTTTGTTCATTTTCTGGTAATATTTTCCATTCCCTCTTGTCTTTGCAGGACATAGCTCGCCTCTTGCAAGAAAAGGAGTTACAGGAAGAGAAAAAGCGAAAGAAACATGTTCTAGAGTTCTCTGGAGCCAATGTTTATGGAGATAATTACTGTTACGAAGATGGAGGTAACAATACCTACATCATGATCTCTTCTACCCTTAGACTCAATAGTAAGATACCCCTTTAATTTTGTTTATAAAGTGACCTGGGAATGTTTCTCTTATCCCTAGGCACTGGGTATGTTTAGATTTGTGTCAGGATTCTATTTGAATTTGATGAATTCATCTGTTCCTTAATTGGATAACCAGAGACATTTTTATGACTGTTAAAATTTGAATATAGTTTTATAAAGATTAGCATGCATTCTTTTGTGCTGTAGTCACTTGGAATGCTTTGTTACGTTCTAAATACATAAAATGGGGTGTGGAAAATGACTGCTGAGGCTCTGGACTTAACCTTTGTCAAGGAAGTCTGGGCAGTGCTGTTTGAAGCAGCAAAGTGGTAGGAATGAAGAAGATACACCATGCGTCGGTTACTGGGTAACAAAGCTTTTTTCTATGCTTTCTTGTCTTTTAGACCTAGGCCGAGGGTTTAGCGTGCTGATGACAAATAATACTAAATTTTAAGATTTACTGTTCATTTTTTGCTTTCGATGCCTTCTTTGCTGTTCGATTACCGTATGGAATAATTTCTGAGGGAGGGAAATCCTTACAGAGTTTCGCTTCCCTAGTGCCTACTTTTGCAGTGTGCCGATGGTGTGGTGGTGGCAGTGTGGTGGTGGTGATTCTTTACCTTAAAAATGTGTTGGGAAATGAGTATTTGCAAATATCATTTATTCATTTTCAAAGATCTGTCAAATACATTTCCGATAGTTTCAAGTGTTGGTATTTATTGACATTCAGCTTGGAAACCATACTTAGGGTAACAAGTGAACACAACCTAAAGGCAATTTCTAGGGAGTAAAAATTTTAAGGGCAGTGATCCTAAAGGACCTTGCAAACCAATTATCAACTGATTTTCCATTATATAGGTAAGTATGTGTTTGTCTTTGATGAATAGAATGAAAGTGCCTATGTAGATGGCGGAATTATCATAGTTTGAATATAATCTTGCCCAGTAACATTTTTTGCTCTACATTCATCATAATCAGTAGTGCTCAGCTCTGTGGCCTATTTAATAAGCAGGTTGATTTTCTGTTTATTGCTTGATACATTCTTATTCCGTATGTAAAATACTCATTTCTTTTTTAGTAGTCATTTTCCTTATACGAGTTGTTCTGATGAAATTTTGTATTGTATCATTTAAAAAGAAAACTTATTGCCATATTTTGCTATACTAGAGACCAGAAGGTAAAGAATTACTCTTCAGCTTCAATTAAAATCTTAGAAATGTGGTCTGGAGTTTTTCCTTTGTTTTTATTTTAAATTCTGCACTAGAGGCATATTCACTATAAAAGTCAATATTTTAGACTTTTAAGTCTATAAAAACATAAGGATGCTAAGTAATTAAGTACACTAAAGTATTAATTTTAGCCTTTCTCTAATAAAGCCTTATACTGACTTAAATTGAGACTGAAACCTGTTTGCTTTGACCAGAGTACTGTCATCCTGATTCGTATCTCTAGAACAGGAGACTATGTTAACAATTAATTCAGTGGTTTTCAGATACACCTAAAACTTAAAAAAAAAAAAAACAAAAAACCTATATTTTAACTACTTTTGTAAATTTGTAGATAGTAGCATATATACTTGTTTTGGGGTAGGGATTGAGGGAATATTGCGGAATAGGAGCGGGTGACCTCCTGAGCATGTTTGTAAATACTGGAATTTCTTTTACGTCAGCTGCGCTGTTGTTAGTAGATTAAATATCGCTGAACATGCAGTCCTCATTTATATGCCTTTGAATTAGACCAGGGTGAGTTCCACAGAAACCACATTACAATTCAGCTTTTATTTACAAAGCAATCTTTATGTTCTTTGCAGTGATCCTTTCCCAACACATCTAGGATATTCTTTAATTATACTTCTGTATGTATAATTTGATTTTTGCTTTACTTAATAATTGCAGTATGTCATTATAGAAATAGTCATCTCTTCTGCTTTTATTTAACTTAAACTTTAATAAATTAATCTTTTAAAATGATCATTTATAGATTTCTTACAAACTTGAAATTATCCAAAACACTTGTCAAATTTATGTCAACTGTTAAATGGTATAAATTATTCACTAGTGAATCCATGTTTTTCTTTCAAAGCCACTTACCTATATTACAGCCATATTAGTGATTAGTCATGGTCTGTGGGGTCATAAGACCATGGTTCAAGTTTTATCCCTTTCTCAGAACAATTATATTTTTAATGAAGTTTTCTATTATAATTACTCTAAATATTTTTTTCATCTGTAAAATAGAGATTATAAAAATAAGTCCTTTACATGGATGTGGAGATCAAATAATACAATTTGGTGAAGGACTTGTAAACTCTATTTTTATACATATATCAATGTTATGTGTGTATAATGTATTTTTGTATATCTAAACAAAAATTATTTTAAAAGAAACATGGAGGCATGCATATAAAATATATATGTATATATGTACGCACACATGTATGTGTGTGTGTGTGTATATGTATATGCTTTGGCAATGAGGGAGTTAATTATATTTGCCAAATAACATGGTCTCAAGAAGCATACACGTCTCAGTTCTCAACTGAAAGGTTTTAAAGGATTCAAACACATTCCCCACCCCTATTTTTTTTTTCTTGCCCAGACTTAAAGCTATCACGGTACATGAGCTAGAGAATAAATATTTTTTGCCAGTCATCCCTGTGAAAATGAAGTAACAACTCTGTAATAATTCCCGCAACACATTTCCCTAAAGTAAAATCAGTTAATTGTTTAGAAGGAATTAAAAACAAAAGCAATCATAGCTTCACAAATCAATGTCAAAAACAAAACCCTTCTTGTTTCTTTTGCGCTTAAAGGCGAGCTTCACTTTTGCAGCTGTCTGTGGGCATATTGTTGTTAACACTGTAAACCATTATTCCCTGGAATGTGGTCATCATTTAACTAGCTAGTCAGTGTTATATTAATTTACGACAGTGGTCAATTAATTCTTTCTTAGTTATCAAGATAGACTTAATAGTTTGGGTAAAAGAGTAGATACTTTTTTTTATAACAGAGAGCAATTGTCCTGTTTCACTTTTGATTTATGTAAATTATAAATTTAATCAGAAATTATGAAGATACATACTTTAAGGACTGTTTAGAAGACAAATTTTAATCTAGATTTATCTTTCAGGCAAATTTCCTTTTCTTGTAGAAAGCTCAAGAGGAAACAAGTTCAAGTTTTTGAGCAGAAGCTTTTGGTATCAATGGTGCCTTCAGCACTTACGTTCTTACTCTATTTGTTTATCACATTAACAATATGAAATGAAACAAATAGTAAAAAAAAGAAAAAGAAAAAAACAAAGAAAACCTACAGTTCTTTATTTCATCTACATCTCATTGAATTATGGTAGTTGTTTCAAATGCAGTTCAGCAAGAAATGTATCTTAGCTATCTTAGCAATTTTCTATGGAATTAGGATTTCTTGTTATTATTTCAAAAGTGTAGTAGCAGTTTTAGAATCTATTAAAATCAATATATTCTTGCAAGGCACATGTTAATTTTCTGCCTTTGTGTTCACAATATGCTTCTACCTAAATGACACCTGACAAAAGCATCCATCTGTGTTCTGTTTTTGAAGTTTGTATTAAACTAGGGGACTTATATATTTAGCATATAACTTTTTATACAAAGAATACAATATCACAAAGTTTCTTGAAATGTATTTAGGAAGTGAATCCTTTTTATCTGCTTCATTAAGGCATCGCTTTTAGATTTTTTTCCTCTGCCAAGGTTTAATTAAGATTGAGAACAGAGTTATGTAAAGATAATAGGGTCATTTACTCAGCTAAAAAATCTTCCTCTACTCCATCCTCTTCCACATTGAACTGTAATATAGAGCTGTTCTATGAAGTGGCCAGGATTTTTTGATTTGGCTCTATAAGGTGGGGGGGATAGAGGAATACAAAAATCTGCAGATCATTTTTCTAAACTAAGCAGAAACTAGGAACATTCTGGTATAGCTTTATTATCATGTCCAATAAGAATATTTGAAAGCTTCTAACTGAAATCACAAAGCTTAATTTTTTTGTTGTTTTACAATATTCTTCAACTCCTACTTTTTAACCTGTACTAGTTTCAAATTGGTTTTATATGTAGAATTTAACATTTAATGGCCGTAATTTTTGTTTGGCAAATATTAAAGTACTCTGCTAACTCTGCCTAATCATGATCAAATTCTTCTTTCAAATTTAAGTCACTTAATTTTAGTTTTTTAGCTTTTTGGCTGTGTACCCAGAATCCTTCATGTATGCATGGATCATTCCAGTAAATGCTCATCCCCTCTTCTCAATCTGTTAAGTTAAAAAGGCAGTTTTCTCCATTTTAAGAGTATGTTAAACTTGGGCCCGGACTCTCCCCTGTGTAATGAGTTCATACTCTCATTAAGTTAACCTGCATTTTTATTTTTCGCATCCTTCCACCTCTCCTCAGACCAGCCAAGGTCAAGGAGGGCTGGGGAATTGGGTTCTGGATTATCAAGGTCTTGTAGACTCCACAGTGATGGAAAGACTGCGAAACAAAGGAAGGAGAAACTGAAACACTCACTGGAGAACTCGGAAGAGCTGGAAGAACAGTGTTCATCAGAGAGACCCCTGTCATCCTGTAGCAGGGGCGAAGTGAGAGGTGATCCCCAACTTAACTGTGAGCAGCATGAAAGGAAACGGTCTGGTCAGGAGAGGCTCCGGAGACCTCCCCTTCCCAAGATCAGTGGTGAGGTGTTCCTGAGCACTGAATGTGATGACTGGGAGGCTAAGAGTAGCCATCGAACTCGGAATTGGGAAAAACGCCCTCGACACCAAGACCGACTTTCTCCCAACTCTTCACAGAAAGCAGGGCTTCACTGCCAGGAAGCTGTATATGGGAGGGACCTTGGGCCAGGTGAGCTCAGAAAAAGGAGACACAGACCCAGGTCTCCTCCCTTCTCAGAGAGTGAAGAGCAGCTTCACCTTCAGAATCCAGGTAATAAAGGACAGTCTCCTTGGAAGTCCTGGTATCATATATAAACATACAAACCAATGTATTATTAATAATGTAATATTTAATAAGTGTCTTAAGCAAACTTTTTTCTCTCCAGTTTGTGCTCATGACTTTGAACTCATTCCCAGAACTAAATAGTATAAAAGGTATGTACTTAATCTCAGGTCTTTAGGAAGAAGAAAAATATTTGTTCCTCACCCCTTCTGTGACAATGCACTGATTCCATGGAAGATTCTTCCAGGCTCAGGTTACATTGGAGGTGCCTATCCCAAATACAGTTCTTCATTTGCTAAGAGCATATGTCAGAGATTCTTATATGAAATCAAAGCTCCTGAATTTCTGGCTTTACATCAGTGAACCCAGAAGATCCTGCCTTAATATTATTTGCCTAACTAAAAGGCCGGTAGAGCTGGAAGTACTAGATTTTCTAGACCTCAATTTTCTCATTTGTAAAATGAGGGGTTGAATAGGCAGTCTTTTAACACAGCATTTTTCAAGTTATTGGCCTTAGTCCATTTTTGTCAGAATCAGCTCTTTCCTAAAAATACAGATTTCTGGGTTTCACATATATTATCATTTATGGAGTAAGGCCTGACAGTTTGGGAATGTTTTAAATAGACCTGGAGGTGATTCTTATGAACTTAAACTTTAAAAATCATTGCCTTAAGTTACTTTTTATGCTTTAGCTTTCTCCAGCTTAACTCTATACTTGGTGTTCTAACTTGCCAATACAGGTAAGTTCTTGGTACCTTATAGGAATGAAGTGACTATTAGAGGTAAGCCTCAAATTTCTAGCATCTCTGAGCTTAACTCTGAAGTCCATCATTGACACAGTAATAGTTCTTTCCATTTTCTGGAATCTGCTGACGTGATGTATTCCATGTGGCTGTTACAGTAGAAGTCATAGCACCACACTATCTGATATTTTAGAATTCATCTTTCAAGTTTCATTTTACTTTTACTGAAGTTTTACAAAGATGGAAGGTTATTGGGGAAGTAGTACCAAGAAGGCATCTTATTTTCTTTTTTATCGTGGCCCAGTCAGACTCTACTTGTAGTTGGAAAACTAGTTTCTAGTTTACAGATTCAGGTTGATTCAGTTGGTTGTTTTTCTATCATGTTATCTCTTATAAAGTGCTTGGTTGTAAAAAAAAAAAAAAAAAAAATTAAAATTCAATTCAGCAAGTCATACTGAGTATCTGCTACAGATATTCTTGCCTTGGACTTTATATTTGGATCTGAGCCTCAGAGGTTAATAGTCAAGCCAAAAAGATGAATATGTATATAATTCCAAATTACATATACTTTGTTAGGGAGACAAGAACAAAATGCTGATAGAGAATAGAGGCGAGAGTGGTATAATCTATCTGAAGTAGGTTTATGAGGAAGTTGTACTATATCTAGGTTTAGAAAGACATCTTGGAGTTCCAAAGGTGTGGGGGAGTATGGGGGAGGAATGATGATTACACTGACCTCTATATTTCTGATTCTGTAAATGTGACATTTTAAATGTGCTCTGAGGGCTAATTAGGCTTTATGGCTTTTAGTTGTGCTCCGGGAAACAGGCTTGGGAAGCATGACACTAAATACTGACTCACAGGCTCCATTACTGGAATTGTGAATGTTTTGTTTTATTTTGCCAGCATGAGGTTTTAAAAAACAGTGTGGCTAGGCAGGTATTAAAATGGCTACAACATGAGCAGCTTTAGTGTCTATCATTTTATATTCAGTTTGCTGTATAAATTTTACCTTTCTTACCTCTCTAGGCATTTGATTTTTCAACCCCCTGGAATAGGTCAGATGATTACATTAGAATATAATTACTAGGTACTAGTATCTATTCTTGCTGTTGTAAAATCACAATTCTTAAAGTTGTTAGCACAGGCCAGAGTTTTATTTAACTTAATAATGAAGAAACTAGCAGGACGACAAAATGATGGTGCTAAGCATTTGCACAACCACATTTATAGAATCAGTTGAAAAAGGAATGCAAAATAAAATTGCTAAATGAAGTACAACATTGGTTAACTTTCTACAGTAACTTCTCTATTGAACTATAAATTTGTAACAGCTTATCATTTTCTGCTCAGGGCCATAAAATACCTGTACTTTTCTACTATGAATTGTTAGTCAAATATACTGTGATATTCCCTAAGTGTCAGGCTAGTTTATTATAGAATACCCCTGTGTGATATAAAAAAATCTACCAGTCTTCATTTACCCTGTTCTAAACTTGGAATAAATTGATCTTGAATACCAGTGCTTTTAATAGTTTTATTCTATCAGAATTTATTTCAGGGGAAAATTTTATTTGTGTTCATTTAGGGAAAGTCTTGTGTTCTCAAACTGTAGGATGATGAACAGAATAAACAAGGAAGAGCTAGATTAAGAAATATATGGAACTGTTGAAAATATGGCTCACCTGATTGTTTCAAAACTAGTTTCCACATTCTGTTTAGGTTATGGGAGACAGGGACAGCTATTTCATTAATCTTTTTCAATTAACTATGTATTTAAAAGTTTTTAAATATCTCCATTCTGTGTAATGACAGCCTTATACTGCATTATCTGTGGTGTCTTCTTATACATACTTACAAAAGCCTGTTACATCCGGTACAGAGAGGACCTACTGCAAGTAGACATCCTGCCAGTCCGGAAATCCAGTATCCCAGGCTGTGGAGATTTTCTTCTTTATAAGACTTGCAAATTCCAATGATACATCAAGGGTTTAAACAAACTGTTTCCCCTTTAAATATTTGGGACTGAGAGAGATAGTACCTCAGATTCTGACTCTTATTAATGAAGTTGTCATTCTCTTTTGATCTGTCAGAGTTTACAATCTTATCACCCTGTCAAACCAATTAAGACTGTTCAGTTGAATATGTCTTTGATAGAATTTAAAACAATGTGTCTTTGATAAAATTTAAAATAAAATAACTTCTCAGTTATTTCTGTGGTATACAGTAGCAGGCATAGTGGGAAAGTTTGGTATCTTGAAATCTGAGCACGTCTCACTCTGTCATTTCACTGGATGGGAGAATCAAAAGAGCTAGGCATGTTCTGTCATCCTCAGCTAGGCTTTGGGCTGCTCATTGAAATGTCATTTTTCTATAGATTAGAATATGGTATAACAGCCTGTCTTATCCACTGACTTTGCTCAGTACTAAGTTCTCTGTCTAATTTAATTTATTTTTCCTGAAATCTGCCTTTCTAGTTATGACCAAGCTAATCGCAACTCAGGGAGGTTGATGTCCTATTTACATACGGTCTACTCTTGGGAGTATGCTGTCCCAAACCACTCAGGAATCCGGATTAAAACCATTCCAGCCCAGCATAAAATATAGCAGCTTTAGAGATGATTTGAAGTGGTCTGTATAATCAGCTTCTGTTAGGCCTAAAGCTAAGAAAGCCAGGTTTACTAGTCTTTATTTGTGGGAAAGACAGATAGGTATGAATCTTTAGCTTTTGAATTTCCCACAAAGATAGGTTGAAAGTTATACAAAGATAGGCTTCATAAGATAATGTAAGTTCTTTGTGTTTGTTCAATATTTAGTTTTCTTTCCAGTTTTTTATTTTTTTTGTTAACAGCAAGTGAAGCAAATGTTGTTAGGCATCGTGATAATTTTGATGTATGTAATACAGTAAACTAGTTGTTCCAGTGGTAATTGTAAGTAAGAATCAACTGGGAAGACTTAAAGACTTACCGAAGGCCAAGCTACTTAGATTAGACTCTCTCAGGTTTGGGGTAAATATCTTTATATTTATTTAAAGCACTCCCAAGTGATTGTTGTATGTAGCCTTGATCTACAGCCACTGGTGTAAAGAGATAGGCAATCAGGAGTATATTTTCTTTCTTCCTTCAATAGTACATTTACTGAAAGTCACTATTTCAGATGGCTAATCTTGTTCACTGCATTTACAATTTTTGTTGATTCTGAATATAATGTGTTAATATTCACACAGTTGAGTCGGAGTATAGAGTCACAATTGACCACCAGTCCCCCATGTTCCTTTCTCCTCAGAAGAATAGAACTCTGAAGTCATCGTGCACTTGATATTTCCCTTATATCTTCCCTGAAGTTTAACAGTGCCATTAAACTGATCAAAGCTATGGGAAAAATCTAAAGCAAGTATGTGTGTTTACCATCAGAACAGAAGCCATGGCTTCCACTTCTTGACTAATGGGTATTATCATATAACTCTGAGGTGATGCTGTTTCTGTTCCCTCTGCAATAATGTATGTCTGCTGAGGTAAATCCAATGAAGCCTGTCATTTCCTCCAGTTTTGACAGCTTAGCCTCTTTTAAATTCTGACTCTGTAACTTGATTTTCTTTAAATTCTTTTTTTTTTTTTCCACTTCCTATTTTGCCAAGGCCTCACTTGCAGTTCCTTATATGATTTTCTGTTGTTGAAACTATGTGAGAGGGGAGTTTTTACCAGGTAGGTTTGAGTGGATAACTTTGTTTAAATGTGTGAATTATCTGCGTTGCCATTTCCATGCCTAGGGCAGAAAATATTTCACATGCACCCCACGCTGAATTCTGGAGTGGAGGCAGCATTGTCTGTGTTAGATACTAAAGAAAAACTTCTTTACCTTTAATTTTTTGACTTTTCAGAGAACATCCTTGGTTGCCTTATTACATTGAGTTTTTTTTTTTTTTTAGGAATGAAGCCAAGAATGGTAAAAGAAACTGTCTCGTCTCCACCACGAGTGACCCACAGGGATCAGGAATGGTATGATGCTGAAATTGCCAGAAAGCTGCAAGAAGAAGAACTTTTGGTAAGCATGTTTTAAGGGAAAAGTTCAGGTGAATCAGGTTTTGTGTGAATTGAATCAATTTTGAGATTGTATAATAGGCATTATAGTCCTCCATCAGTTGAAATACTAATATCATTTTTATGAGTGGAAAAATCAAGACAATGGGAATAGAGTATCTAGTTTTATTTATTAAGTAAGCATTAACAACAGAACTCATATTGCTTTCTCTCCATGATTAAGTTCTAATAATTCTCTGAGACCCTGTTGTAGAATTTATAAGAAGAGCCCCTGCTCTGGCTGATGAAAGTATACCAACTCATTATTAACTTCAAGAATGTTAATCAAAACTAGTTTTAAATACTGGTTTATTTTCTATAAGATTTTTTAAGTGGACAACGTGGATTCCATTTTTTGTGTGTGTTTTTTTTTGGTTTTTTTGTTTTTGTATTTTTTGTACCACAGGCTACCCAGGTGGACGTGAGAGCAGCTCAGGTAGCCCAGGATGAGGTAAGTTTCATATTAGGTAAAGAGTTCAGCTGATATTCTTTGGAAATATCCCAGTATTTTTCTACCTACAACTCTGCAATTAATGATACTGACTGGATTTTGTTTAGGAAATTGCTCGACTTCTGATGGCTGAAGAAAAGAAGGCTTACAAGAAAGCCAAGGAGAGGGAGAAATCATCTTTGGACAAAAGAAAGCATGATCCCGAATGGAAGGTAAGGTGTGTTTCTTTGTTTTGTTTTGTTTTGTTTTAATTAGAAATAAAAAGGAACTCTGCTTTTAGGGTAAACTCTGCAAACATATTTAGGATATGCAAATTATCCTTATTGCATGTGAATCTGATTTGTAAAAGTTTATCATTAAGGAAAATTACTGAATTCTTAAAAGTAATTGTGTAAAAAGTTACTGTTAAGATTGAAAAACTCATTCTGTTCATTTTAAGACCAACTGAGATGCAAGTGCTTCTGGTCATGAATGATCTTAGTTTTCGTTATCCATTTCTCAGATTGCAGAAGAATGTAGCATTTTCACATGCTTTCAGATTTTCCGGTGACCTTCTCTTCGTCTCTCTACTTTTTCTTTGTGCTTGCATTATTCTTCAGCCCTGTCATGCACCTGTTTCTTTTTCCTTTGACGTAACTTCATCTGTGACAGACTAACAGATATATACTTATCACCAGCAATCATTGCTTATGTCACAGTGCAAGAACTATCTAGTGTGAGCTTGGACTGTTACTTATCTCTCATTAATCAGAAATAGTTGACAAAGTGAGAAGTGACTGCAGTTCATTCTGCTGCAAAGTAATCTGATTAATCTGATTGTTATACGTGGTAGTTGTAAGTTCAGTTCAGTAGAGTTTATTCATTAGTGACTGTGTGCAAGGCATCACCCTGGAGCTACATGGAAAGACAGATCTATTTTTTTCCTGATAAGAGTATATAATGTAGAGAGGAAGACAGCTAACAAATAGAAGGTCAGGCTGGATGGAAGAACACCAGAAGAAGAGGAAGAAAATTCATACAGTACACAGGTTTTTTAGAGAGGGAGTTTGCACTAGGCTTGAAAAGATGCAACCAACCATGTGTATCTGTGATGCACTTGATGTTTAGCACTGTTTTCTCTGGAATAAATTCCTATCGTTATCTTGGTCTCACCTCACAGTCTCAGTAATAGCTGTGAGGAAAAAGATGTAGAAATAATGCCAATAGTATTGCTGTATTTTTTCGTTGTTCAGTTACCCAGGTTTTAGTCTAAAAACAAATAAAAGTATTATTTCCATATTAATTGTGTGTATCTAGCTCCCCCTTTTCCCCTCTTAGTAACTCAAGGTTTTTCCTCACATACTTCATTTTAGTCAAGGATTCCCAAATACTTCTGTTACGTGAATTAAGCCACATATAATTGCCCAGGAGTTACTCATATTCTTAATCAGGAAGGGTAGGTATTTGAAGCATTATAAATCAGGAAAGTCAGAGGGCAGTGGCCACATTTCTAGCAAGTGTCAAGACTTCTGTGATTTCCACATTCTATAACTGGTGCAGGAACAGTTCCTCTCCTGGAAAAGTTGACCTGAACTTGCCTTAGTTTGCTGACTGGAAAATCATTAGCCCCATATCAGGTGTGCAGGAATAAGTTTGCGAGAGCACAAACCTAAATTCCATAGACTCTGGGTGTGTCCACCATTCTTGTCAGTCGCCATGCAGCTGTTAGGGCAATAATCAGTGACTGAGCACACCCATGTGGGAGAGCGTGTTTGTATGTGTTTAGCCTACTGATTTGGCTGCTCTGACAGCCTCCAGCATACCTTTATAGTTATAATTTTTTACCTCTGAATGGCCATATATAAAAATATTTTATGTTGCTCAGTTAAATGTAAGTAACCTGAAATTGCTAAAGGAGAGCTTGGCATGATTTACGTATTTTCTAAACCTAATCTTCCTCTTTGTTTGTTTGATGTTTCTGTATTGTGTGTATTTTTCTTCTTTGCATGTGTGTGTGTGTGTTTTTTTTTTTTCTGTACACAGCCCAAAACACCTAAATCAGCACACTCAAAGTCAAAAGAAAGTGATGAACTTCACCGTTCTAAGAATGACAGGCCAGCACGGTAAGATGACACCTGAAAAGGAGAGTGAGGAAGTTGACTTCGGGGTGAGTAAGGAGATGTCAGTTGCTTAAGAAGAATATTTGTCCTTTGGAGAGGAGATCCAAAAGTCTACAATTGTGAGGTGGTGTCAAGTCTTGTAGGGTTATTTTCAATCTTTATTTCCAGTCTTAAATTAGGTTAAATAAGTTAAATCAGGACATTTTACAAAAACCAGGGTGTATAAGAAGGGATATACGTTTTGTTAGGACCAGTTCTTATCTCTGCATTCATTAAATTTATGCTGTCAGCTAGGAAGGGATGAGATTGACCATTTTCCTAAATAAAATCTCAGGTTTTAAATTTTTACTGGGTTTCATGGTTATACTGGTATATGCGTGACATTTACACGTGCTCAAACTCATTTCTCTCTGAGTCTCAATGTCCTAGGCAAATATGTGAGTCATTGCAGACTATCTAAATGCCACTATGTCAAATAGCTGTGGCTATGGTATATATACTTTCTTACTTCTCTCAAGCAGTTGTGGGTCATAGTTATGGAGCAAGTGCTATCTTTCTAGTTCCAGTTGTTAACGTTCTAGTCTCCAGAGAAGCAACCTCTTTTTTACTTTATTGCTTTTTTTTGCCTTTCAAAAGAAAATATGATTGGAATATGAAGAGAAAACATTAAAAACAAAAGAACAAAAGTAACACTAAATCTAACGTTTTGAAAACTTTGAATTATTAAAACCTGAATTTTGGTCCTGATTATTAATATTTATTAATTTTTAAGTACAAATTTTATTACACTGAAAAATATACACTGTTGTTGTCACTCATTGCCCACATTTAAGCTGCTAGACTTGTTTTCTTCAAGTGAGTATATTTAGTGTCCTTAAAAAATCATCCTCTATTTTTAAACTCATATTCTTTCAGAAGATAAATATTCTTCAGAAAATTATCTCAGGTTTGTATTGCTCTGAGGACAATAGTAGTATAGTTTATCTAATTATATAAAATCTGTTCTTCTTATAGCTTTTGATTAAGCAATGCCAAACATTTTTTAAAGCACATTTTAAAACTGTATAGTTTAGTAAATCCCCAAAGTATCCAAGTAAAATAAAAAGCAGCTAAAGTGTTCTGAGTAAGTAAATATGCCTGGATTATTATTCTTTTTTTAGTCAAATGCATTCAAATCATCTTAAGGGTTATTTTATAATCTTCAAAGTCCTTGGCCTCTTTAGCATACTAATAATTTTGAAAGCCGATATGATAGAACAGTCTAGGATGACTATTTAAAAAGGTTTATTAAAGTTTGAAAACAAGTTTCTGGAATGTAATAGGTACTTCAAAAATATTTGGCATTTTGAAAGAACGAATAATCGAAAGATCATGTTAAAAGCAGCTGTTATAAATTAGTGTAAAGTGACTATGGCCACTAGAGTGGAAATCTTCTTTGACATTAGAAGAGCATTTGCCTTTAAATATTGTTTATAGAAAGATTGTCTTATATGACAAAACAAAAATGAGTAAGAATTTTATGAAACCTGTATTTTCATAGTTAAAAATTAAAGCCTGTATATTTTAGATATATAGATATCTGTATAGCTAATCTCCAAATATATGCTTTCTGGTTTCAGTCTTTGGTTTCCTCCTTCATATTTAATCATGGTGGAAAGGTTTAGCTAGCTATCAGTACAGAGGGTGAGTTTCAAGGATTGAAAAACATGGAGCTTCCTAGGTCAAATATTTATTACTTTAGTGTAATAATAGTAGTGGTAGAGGAGAAACAAATTCTCATGTAGAGCTGATTACATGGTCAAAAATTCAATTTCTTGGTCCATTACAAAATTTTCTGCTATCTAAGGAAATAGAGAGCCAGTTAGCAATCTGAATTAATTCCAACTCTTTATAATTGGAAAAAGTTTCAAACCAAATTCCAAATTGTTTTAACTACAGGAATTTATACTGGTAATACTAGTTCATATTTTACTTGCATTTTTTCCTTAGGAAAAGTTAAAGATTTTATAGATCTCGTTTAGTGCCTAGCACAGTCTTATGAATGTGAAATACTTTTATGTCCACTTACTCACTGATCAAAATGGTTATTTTTTTAAATTTCGGAATAATACAGGGGTACAAATGTTTATCAAATATTTATTGGTACCCTAATAACTGCTTAGAACTAGGGTAAGCAGCAGTCAACAAGAATGATTTTTTTCATGATCTCATGAAGCATATCATTTCAACAAATAATTATCTTATAAATAACTATTATGATTGTGTTAAATGCTATGGTTGAAAAGTATAGAGTGTTATAAGAGCATAACGAGGCTACCTGGTTTGGGTATCTGGGCAGGTTTCCTGAAGAAGTGAATTTTGATGGGAATTCTAAAGGGTATTTGGCTATATCACTAACTTAAAAATATAAATTATTTCATGAGAACGATAGGAAACAGGTAATCCTAATACAACAAAAACTATGAAACAAATTACTGGTTAATAAGATTTTTCTAACTTTGAATATAAATACCCTTAACTTTGAAACAAATGTCTCCAGTGCAACAAAATAATGTGACAGGACTCCCGGTAGCAATAAGCCAAGATTTATTCTCTGTATAACCCCAAAACTGAACAGTACAACACACCGAGAGAACTGAGGGCCTTCTGGATTGATTTCTGATTGTTTATCCCTACATGGAGGTCCGAGAGAATTTTCTGACATCCTGTGTCCTGTTTGTAGCTTTAGCATCCTTTTCCTTGGTGATTAGTTGATGGTGAGGCACTAATTATGAAATGTTTTTATGAGTCCCACTCAGTTTTTGGCTTTCTGGGCTTTAAAAATTCTTTTTTTTTTTTATTTTAGAATATTATAGGAGTACAAATGTTTTGGTTACGTACGTTGCTTTTGTACCTCTTGAGTAAGGTTAATAAAAGAGTAAAGAGTAGACTCTGCCACCCCGGTTACCAACCCTGTTTTCTTGGGCCTAAGTCACTTCTTTACCTGTTTGTTTTATGAAGCTAAATTCCTTAATCCTGGAGTGAGATTGATTTGTCTCAACTCTTCCTAGTAAGTCTTATATTACTTTTTAAAGGTAAATGTTATAAATATCAGTTAATGAAAGAAAAACGCCATTTAATTTCTAATATTTGTAAACAGTTCAAAGAGCAAAACAAGAAAAAAATGCTACATTATTCACTACTCTCAAATCAATTATGTGTATAACAAATGCCTAAAAATGTACATAATAAAACATATTATCATCAAATGGTATTTGAAAGTATAAGATATAGATACATATGAAAGTATACATATGAAAATATAAATACAAATGCGTATATATACACATATATATAGTCTTGCATACGATGCTGTTGCTCCTGATAAAAATACACACCCACACCTGTGGAGCAAAGCATAGTAGAGTGGTTAAGAATACTGGTTTGAAGTCTAAAGTCTAGTTGAATTTGAGGACTGACTCTGCCGCTTAACAGCTACGTGAACTTGAACAGATTACTTACTTCATCTCTAACCTAATCTAACTCTAAAATATGTAAATAATAACTATCTTACAGACTTGTCTTAAAAGTTAATTGGAGATAATCTGTATAGAACTCATAGTGCAGTCTTCAGTCTACAAACAAGTGTCCATCCCATGCCGACCTCTTCCAGATGCTGAATACCCAGGAAGAGACTGACCTGGGTACATAGTGAACAATTTGAAAGCATTTGCCTTTATTTTTATATGACTGAGCCCATTGTACCAAACTGACTGTCACTTTACAAACCTCAGGACACTTATGCCTTCTAGATTTTATATATTAGATATAATTGCATAAAATGTCTTGTAACATGATTATATGTATGATAAATCTTAACCTCATCTGATTCTATGCTTTAATGAAAAATGTGAGTATGCCTTTGGGAAACCAAAAGAAGAATAGGAGATTTTGCTCTTCATCTTCAATGCCAAATGTTTGTAAAATTTTACATTAAGTAATTTAAAATAATAAAAAGTTTGGTAGAAGTTTCCTAATTTTGTTTTTTACGTTTTGTTTTCTTTTACATAAAAAGTAGCGAATGTATTACATAGAAAGTTGCAGATGTATTAAGATCTACTTCGCCACCTAGTGGATGAAGGAACTTTGTTCATGAAATTTTATGTTTATCCTAGCTAGTTTACTCCCTCCTTGCCTGTCTTCCCTTCTCTTCCTTTTTTCCTTAACTTTATTACTTTCTTCTTTTCTATTCTTTCTTTTCTTCCTCTTTGGTAAAACCTACCAAAACAAAGTATATTTCCTATTAATGGCAGCAGTCCTATCTCATTAATTTTTGTTTATCTAGCACAGTGCCTCATACATATCAGTTGTTGAGAAAATATTTTCTTCATTGAATTACATGCATAAAAACGAAGAGTAAGACAAAATAATTTATTCATATAACTGTCTTGGAACTAAAGTGCAAATTCTAAAGCATTTTGCTTTTCATTTCTATAGAAAATGTTTTTACTGTACAATCCAATGAGAAGTGGAATTATAGTAAACAGAATATCTCTTTAAATTCTGGCTTCCTTTTAGGCCACCACCACCCACCACGACAGATGCTGAGGATCTGGATTACACTCATCATACAAACCAGCAGAGTTCCACACGTCATTTCTCAAAATCAGAGTCCTCTCACAAAGGTAAGAAGAGTATGTAAGGTCAAGTGTAGGGCCTTTTTTTATAAGCCTCATGTGTTGGTGAAAAATTCAGATACTATCCTCTGATCACTCAAGTGGGAAAATAAGTTATCTTCCTTTCAGCAGATCCTTATAGTGTTGTTCATTTATTAAAACATAAATAAAAAGATAAAAACCAGAAAACAAAATTTTTTTGTGTATTTGCATTTTCCTCTGGAGAGAGTTTAGAGCTTCCATTCAAGTCTTTACTAAAGGGTGATTTTTGACCTCCGTTTAGATCTATAGGACAGCTTTTTCTATCCTTGCTCTTGCTTCCCATCCACTCATGACTCTATTAATTAGATGTAAAATATCCACACCTCCCACACAAAACTTTTATGCATAAGAAAAATGGAGCAAAGAAAATGAGGAAAGAATATAGATACCTAAATTGTACCAACCTTTAAAATGGAAGAAGTAGTTGGGTGTATTTGCTCTTCCAAGGATATATATTCACTTATGTGCATTTTTATGAA